ATCTAACCAAGGAAGTAAAAGACTTATACACTGAAAACTACAAAACATTACTTGAAGAAATTAAAGAAGACCTAAATAAACAGAAAGATATTCTGTGTCCATGGAAGAAGGCTTAATGTTGTTAAGATGTCAGTACTACCCAAAGTGACCTATAGATTCAACACAATCCCTATCAAAATTCCAACAGCCTTTTTCATAGAAATGGAAAGGCCAATCCTCAAATATGTATAGAATCACAAGGGGACTTGAATGGCTAAAGCAATCTTGAAAAAGATTAATAAATTGGAGGACTTATACTTCCCAAAATGGTGCAACTGCTGGGAAAAGTTTGGTGGTTTTTCAAAAGGCTCAATGTAAAACTGTCATATGACCCTGCAATTCGTTTCCTAGGTCCAAAGAACTGACAAAAGGAAGTCAAACAGATACTTGTACACCTATGTTCATAGCAGCACTATTCACAATAGCCAAAAGGTAGAAACAACCCAGGTGTCCAACAACACACGGACAGATAAACATAATGTGGTAAATACAGTCAATGGGATATTATTAAGGCTTAAAAAATGGAGGAATATTTGATATAGGTTACAACATGGACCTTGAAAACATTATGCTTAGTGAAATAAACCAGACACAAAAGGACAAATATTGAATGATTCCACTTATATGAGTTCCCTAGAATAGGCAAATTCATAGACAGAAAACAGAATAGACTTTACTAGGGGATAGGGGGAGGGAGGAAAGGGGAGTTATTGTTTAATGGGTACTCAAATGAGTTTTTGTTGGGGATCATGAAAAGTTTTGGCCCTAGATAGTGTTGTGGTTACACAACATTGTAAATTTATTTAATTTTCCTGAATTGTAAACTTACAAATGGTTAAAATGATAACTATTAGGTTATGTATTCTTCACTGTAATTTTTTTAAAAGATCAAAGAAAAAAGAAGCATATTACTACTTAGCTATAAGAAGTCTAATGAGGATTAGTATGAAGCAACATGAGAAATCTTTGTCCTCTGGTGCTTAATAACTGTCAATGTCAATTCCCACCTTTCATCTCCAACATCCTTCCTAAGTGCCATTTCAGTAGTTCTGGAAGTCCAACTAGTAGCCAACATTGTAGAAACGTGGCTGGTTTGGGAAAGGGTAATCTTGACCCCATTTCAGTCTGTGACTATACACTGTGATATCAGATTTTAGGTTTTTTTTAGGGTAGTGACAGTTATAGTTGTATACTAAAGAACATAGTTTTCCTCTTCTCAGTAAATGGCACCATTGTTTATGCAGCTGCACTGGTCAAGAACCTTGGAGTCACCCTTGACTCTTCTCTTTCTCTAAAATCCCACACCCAATCCATCAGCAAATCCTGCCTAGACTCCTGCTATTCCTCATCACCTCCACAGCAGCCAACTTGGTCTGAGCTACCATCAACCACCACCTGGGCCACTCCGAGAGCTTCCTAACAGAGCTCTCTGTTTCCACTCACCCTCCTACAGCCTATTCTCCAGCCAGGTGTCAGGGTGATCCTTCTAAGATATGTCTAATCATATCATTCCTGTGCTCAAAACTCTCCAAGGCATCTCATCACATTTAGAGTAAAATTCCAAGTTCTCATCCTGATTTCACCAAGGCCCTGTTGACCCCTGGCAACCTCCTGGATCCCATTCACTGCCATTCTTTTTCTACCTCACATCATCTCAGACATGCTGTTCTTCTTGCTGATCCTTAAACACACCAAGCAAGCTCCTGCCACAAGATCTTGGCAATCATGTTCTCACTTCACGCAGTTCTCTGTTTCAAATCTCCCTCTTCAAGAAGGCATGCCTAGCATATTGATCCAAAGAAAAGAAACACAGGAGTATAAGTCTAACAAAAATGTGTACAGGATCTATGTGACAAAATTATAAAATGCTGATGAAAGAAATAAAAGGCAACCTAAATCTTTGGAAAGATACACTGTGTTTCTGGATTTGAAGATTCAATGTAGTAAAGATGTCATTTACCCCAAAACTGATTCCCTAAACCTCTAGGTTTAACACAATTCCGATTTTAAAAATCCCAGCAAGTTTCTCTGTAGACACAGATAAACTTATTCTAAAACTTATATTGAACATGAAAGGCCCTAGATTAGCCAAAACAATTTATGGAAAAGAAGAATAAATGGGAGGAATCACTTCTTGATGTAGGGCTTACCACATAGCTGCAGACAGGGTGATGCTGTCAGGAAGACAGACACACTGATCAATGGAACAGGTAGAGATCTCAGAAATAAGGCCACAATATGCCCAATTAATTTTTGATAAAGTAGCAGAAGAAATTCAATGGAGTTGGGATAACTTTTTCAATAAATGGTGCTAGACATCCATAAGTCAAAAAATGAAACTCAACCAAGACTTCACAACTTACAAAAAAATTAACCCAAAAGGCATCATGGACTTTAAATGTAAATGGAAAAAACTATAAAACTTCTAGAAAAGAACATAGGAGAAATTTTCAGGACCTATGACTAGGCAGTGTTTTTATACTTGACTCCAAAAGAATGACCACAGAGGAAAAATGGATAGATTGGACCTCATTTCAGAATTAAAAACTTTGTAGAAGACACTATTAAAAGAATGATAAGACAAATTACAGACTAAGAGAAAATATTGCAAATCATCTATCTGACAAAGGTCTACTATCTGTAATATATGAAAAACCTCTCAAGACTCAACATTAAAAAACAAACAATCCAATTAGAAAATGGGCAAAAGACATGCACAGACACCTCATCAAAGAGAATATAATGGCCAATAAATTCATGAAAAGATAATTCAACATCATTAGTCTTTAGAGAAATGCAAATTAAACCACAATGAAATATCATGACAGAATTATCAAATTACTGAAATGAAAAACAGTGATTAACACCAAATGTTGGCAAGATTGTGGAGAAAGCAGATCACTCATGCATTGCAAGGGAACATAAAATGATACAGGCCCTCTGGAAAATGGTTTGTCAGTTTCCGAAAAAAACATATATATATATATATACTTACCATACAACCCAGCAATCACACTCCTGGGCAGTTGGCCAAGAGAAATGAAGATTTATTTTCATGCAGGAACTTGTACATGGATGTTCAGAGAAGTTTTATTTGTAAGAGCTCAAAACTGGAAACCAACCAATATCTTTTAATGGGTGAATGGTTAAGCAAACTGTGGTACATCACGCCATGGATTACTCCTCAGAAATAAAAAGGAATGAACTATTGATACACAGAACTTGGATGATCTCAAGAGAATTATGTTGAGTGAAAAAAGCCAATCTCAGTGCATAATTCCATTTATGTAACAGTCATGAAATAACATAATTATAGAGATGGAGAATGGATTAGTGGTTCCCAGGGGTTAGTGATGGTGGGGAGGGATGGGTGTGGCTATGAAGAGGAACACCAACCTGTTTTGATGATGACAAAGTCGAGTGTTTTTTTGTAATATCTTTATTGAGTATAATTCATATATACAGTTCAGTATGTTGATTATAGTGATTACACAAATGATAAAATTACATAAACCTATGCACAATATCCCAATGAGTGCATGTTATAATGGGTGAAATCTGAATAAGCTATATGGATTGCACAGTGACGCTTCCTTGGTTTTGATATCATACTATACCTGCACAAAATGTTAAAACTGGGGTATTTAGGGATACACTGGGATTCCCTGTGCACTTCTTTACAACCTCTTGAGAGTCTATAAATATTTCAAAATACAAAATTTTTTAATTTAAGGCATTTTAAATCTGCCTCACCCAAAATACCCCTTCCATCATTCTTTACCCTCCTAGCCTGCTTTTTCTTCATTGTCCATATCCCTACCTCACATTTTGATATATGTAATATGTAAGATACAAAGTTTTGTATAAATCTGCTCCTTTAGTAGACTTAGGAAGGCAGGAACTTGTGTTCTCCACTGTGTGCCCAGTGCTACAATGGCACCTACCACAATGTGTTTGTTGAATGAGTGCCTGAGTTTACCTGCCTTCCTAGATGTCCATTTCATTTATTGTATCTATGCATAAATTGGCCCTTACAACCTCCTGCCAGGCACAATACCTTTATCAAGGTATCCACCCCAGACTTTCTGTTCAGAAGAATTTCAATTGCCTTTCTTCTATAATAACATTTTAATACATGCAATTCTGTAGCAGGGAATAGGCATTTTATTCTATTCTATTCATTCTTTCCTGGCTCCAATCAGGCCTTTTGGGAATATGTCCTCATTTAGTATCTTTCTGGGATAGTTAAATCTTCAGCTATGAGAAGAAAGCAGCTGAACAAAAGTCCTTGAATCTGACAGAGTTGACCCTGTATTCCCCAAAAAAGAGCTTCAGGAAGTAAAGGCTTCAAACTGAATTGCTCAAATAAAATGAAGCAATTTTATAAGAAAAACAAATAGTACAAAGAAAGATCATTAAACTCTCAGCCATCTATCTTACTAAAAATGGTTGTGATACATCTTATTGTATATTTGTGGTAGGCAAAATAATAGGCCCTACAGATGTCCACATCCTAATCCCCAGAACCTGTGAATGTAATAGTTCACATTTGCAGACTGATGTAATTAAGGTTAAGGACCTTGAGCTGGGGAACTCAGCCTGGATTATATAGGTGGGTCCAATCTAATCACAGGGGTCCTTAAAAGGAGTGAAATTTTCCTGACTGCAGAGAACCAGAGAGATGGTTTGGTGAGAAGGACTTGACTTGCTCTGATGGCTTTGATGATGGAAGAAGAGAGCTTCATGAAGTTGGACAAGGCAAGGAGAGAGACCCTCCCCTGCCACCTCCAGAAAGGAATACAGCCCTGCCAACACCTTGATTTTAGCTCAGTGAGACCCATATCAGATTTCTAACTTACAGAACTGCATAATTATAAGTTTGTGTGGTTTTAAGCATTGTTTGTAGTAAATTGTTACAGCAGCAATAGAAAAGTAATGCAGTGTTTTATTCTGATTATGGCTTTTTTATTAGCTTGGCTTGTAAGCAACAGAAACCAAGTTGAGCTTTCCTAAGCAAACAAGGCAAGCTTTTCTGGAAGCATAAATTGTCTTAGGGAGCCCAAGGCAGGACAGCCATAGAGCTGCAGAAAGGTGTGGTAGTATCATAGAGAAATCGGCCACAAGGAGTACCCTTCTTCTGCCCCTTTGTCTCTGTCTCCCCATCCCCAATCTGTTTCATTCTCCTCTTTGTGTAAGTAGACTTTCTCTTACTTGCTCCATGAGGTGTAGGAAGACCGAGCCTCAGCAGCCCTTTGCCTTCTTCACCAGACCAGTCAGTGATTAGAATCTCATTCTCAATTCCAAAGTCCCAGGGAAGGACTTTGGCACAGTTTGGGCTAGATGCCTGTTATGGCTTGAATTGTGCCCATAAGCCCCCAAAAAATGTTGAAGCCCTAACCTCCCAGGACCTCAGAATGTGACCTCATTTGGCAATGGGGTCATTGCAGATATAGTTAGTTAAGATGAGGTCATACTGGAGTAGGGTGGACCCTTGTTCCAATATGACTGGTGTCTTTATAAGAAAAGACATAGACACAGAGGGAAGATGTGACTATGAAGGCAGAAGCTGTGTAGTTAAACTGCTGTGAACCAAGGAATGCCTGGGGCTATCAGAAGCTGGAAGAGTCAAGGAAGAATCCTCTCTAGAGGCGCTAGGAGGAGTGTGGCTGTACCAACACTTTGATTTTGGACTTTGGGTCTGCAGAAGTGTGAGACAGTAAGTTTCTGTTGTTTGAAGCCACCCAGTTTGTGGTACTTTGTTACAGCAGCCGTGGGGCACTTAATACAGTGCCCAAGTCTGATCCAGTCAGCTATGCTTAGGAGACCATGTCTTATAGTACAAACATGGCTCCTCAAGGCTTAACTTTTGAGGAGTAGGGGGTCAGTTTCCAAAGAAGGAAGAATCATTGTGAGGTGGGCAGATGCACTGAAAAACTTACCACTCTAGCTCATTATAATAGCTAGGACAAATATGATACTCTGATTTTCATTTTGTTGTTGTTTGCTTTAAAATCTTTATTTTACCCTCTGGAGTGCATCACAATATATGATGTGAGATACGAATCTAAGTTATTTCTTTTCCATACTGTAATCCATTTGTCCTAACAACTTTTATTAATGATTCCCCTTCTTCTCATCACTGTATTGCTTCATATTAGTCAGTGAGTACTGATGTTTGAAAATATTTCTGGAATCTCTATGCTATTTCACTCGTTTGATTGATTTACCAGGTTCCTGGAACGGTAACAAGAATACTCTAGAGGCTGAGTTTTTCAACCTAAGTTCTGGAGTGTGGTTACCCCTCACTTTATTCCCTCCTCTAAGTGTTTTATGTATAGCAATTTGGAATATCTAATTCTCTTTTTGGGGGGTTGAGGGGCAAGGAGGAGATTTATAAAATGTACCTGACCTTTTTAGAATAATAGACCAGGAGAGCCCTTTTAGTGGAAGAAGCTGTGCCCCTTTTGTATCCCCTTTTTGAAACTGGTCCTTGACTCTGTTAACATATCTGGTCTTCAGGTTGAGGGTAAGTCAGAAAATAGCAGAGGACCCACATGGTAAACTTTGTAATAAATATGTGCTTGCCATGCCACATGGTAAGCACTCAATAAATGGTAGGTAATTATTAGAATGAAATCCAGACAACACCTACCTTAAAATCTTGCCACTAACAATAGCTATTTGTACATTTCCCCCACCTTAAGTCATGCATGAATGGGGAAGGGGATGTGGTAGGCTGAAAAATGGCCACCCAAAATGTCTGTGTCCTAATCCTTGGAACCTGAATGTATATTACCTTACATAGTTAAAAGGACTTTTTAGATGTAGTTAAATTAAGAATCATAAAATGGGAAGAATTAATCTGGATAATCTGGGTGGGCCCAGTATAATCACAAGGGTCCTAGAGGAGGAATATGGGAGAGTCAGAGTTACAGAAAAAGAACGTTTGACCATACAAGCAGAAATTGGGTTGATGTGCTTGTAAAATGGAAAGGGGGCCAGGCACCAAGAAATTCAAATGGCCTCTAGAAGTTGGAAAATGGTTCCTTTAGAGCCTGCAGAACTCAGCTCTACTCACACTTTGATTTTAGCCCAGTGAGACCATTTTGATCTTTGGACTTCCAGAACTGTAAGAAAACACATCTCTGTTGTTTTAACCCACTAAATTTGTTACAGCAGCAATAGAAATAGAATGCAGAGGGAAACAGAATTTCATTGAGTACTCTGCAAAATTTGTGCTCTCAGACTCAAGTCCTTGTTTAAATTACAGGGTTTGAGGCCCACAGAACCTAGTGATACCTTTCTTACCATATCACCCTGGCCAGATTTTCATCATTCTTAAGGCCTTTTCTCTCCACTTCTGCCCACCCAGCCTGATTTCTGCTGCCTTAAGAATATTCTATTCACCCACTTTTGATGTCTAGATTTCATAGCTGTTCTAAGATACTGGTGTTAACCTCAGTGCTTGAGACTAAGGTTAGTAGAAAAGATTCAGGGGACAAATTAAATTGAAACATGAAATAAAAGTGAGAAACCTTTTTCAAAATTGGGGTTCTTTCCTAGCATCAGGCCAAAGAGAAAGAAACCTAGAGAGAAACTGAGAACCAGAAAGACACTGAGAAACCTGCATTATAAGCTTACATTTGCCCTGGGCAAGACCTGGGGCTTGAGCAGAAATTTCGGACCCTTTTATCCAATCCCATAGGCTAGATACGGAGAGACACTAGAGGCTTGGAAGTGTAGTTTGGAGTTTAACAAATCTGGATATGAATCCTGCTTCTGCGGCCCACTATGCCTTCTCCAGGGGGCCCCAAACAGGCCCCTGCCAGGTGAGCTCCTCAGTGACGGTGAACTGGAAAGGTGCAACACCCCAACTCCGAACCCAAAATACAGACTTCTGCGTCCGCGACACCAAAAGAAAAAGTATAAAACTGCACGTCTCTGGCACCAAGAAAGCGCGCTTTTCTTTTTCTCTTCTCTCCCAGAATAAAAAGCCCTTACTTCAACTTTTTTTATTTGTGATGATTTTATTTTTCTCTTTCCGTTCTGTTACTAGCTGGAGCTAAACATTGGCTGGGTTCCCCGGGCGGCTGCTGGAAAGGCGCCCTCCCGGGAGCAGAAGGCTCGCTTTGGAGAAACTGGGGGCAGGGAGAGAACTCGCGACTGTCTCCCCAACGCGGGAGGGATTCTCTCGAGTCTTTCCCAACTCAGGCCAAGCCCCTAGTCTGAGCCCCCGGGCAGCAGGGAACGAGGAGATTTCGGGGGACCCTCACGGGGTAGCGGGGTCACACAGCCCAGCACTAGCTCCTTCGCAACTCAGCCCCCAGCTCTTGCCCGGCCGGGTGCTGAGGCTCAGGCTCGGGCCTCGGCGGGGGCAGGGACCACCCACGGCGCCGCGGGCCCGCCCCCGGCCGCGCCCGCCCGGCCGCCCTGCTCGCGGGCCTCCCAGCCTGCCGCCTTCGCACGCTCGTCTGAGCGCGAGGAAGTACCGCTGCACGCGGCACGTCTCTTCTGAGTGAGAAAAACCCAAGAGCGGCGGCGGTACCCAGCTCCTTCTGATAAAGATGGAGGAGGCAGGCAGATGGCCCAGATTGGGAGTGAAGACCATGGCCTTCCTCCTTCTCGTTCTCCTCCCCCGCAGCGCAGAGGACTAGACTATTGATTGGCAGTTGTAGCCTTACCCATTCCCATCCTGAAAAATTTTAATTAATTTAGTTTGGAAAAAAATTAAAATCGGGTTTTGGGATAAAATCACACCACTCCCAGATCAGAATTGGGTATCTTTCACCTAATTTAGACCAGAGAGGGTGGAGTTGTGAAAGGGGTGCAGTACATCTGCCTGGGGATATAGGGCAAGTGGTGGGGCCAAGAAGGTATTGTAGTGGTCGGGGGAGTCCAGTCCCCTCCCACCAGCTGGGCCCTTCCACCCTTCCCCTTCCAGTTGCCAGAATGGAAAATTCATGGAGTCCTGCTTAGCCCAGGTCAACAAACTTTTATTGCCTTTTCTGGCTGCCCCTGCCCCAACACAATCCCTGCTTCTTACACTAGGAATACTGAGCTTGGTGCTTGGGAACAAGGGTGTTCCCTCTCCTCTCCACACTGCCAAGGTTAAAGAAACTACACTTACTGGAGAGGGAGGGCCAGACAGGAGGAATTCAAGGGCACATATGGCTCAATCCCACGTCTGCTGGAGGTAGAATAGAGACCATGGTTCCAAATATTTTTCAAAGTGGGGGTAGGAGAGGGATGAATTTGGCTGCTGTTGCACCCCCTTGCCCTTGCTGCCATGTTTCCATGGCAATGAGGGTGGGCAGGATGTAGCTCACTATGACTACCTGGGAGGATGGTAGGGCTGGCATTTAGTAAACATACTGCCTTCCAGTCCTACTCAACACATACAAACTGTCCCCAGCCGACCCCCAAGCTCACTGCCTGCTCTGCTCCTTTCCCTTCTGGAGCTGGTACGTTGCCAACTGGACTCCAGGCAGATCCTGCTGGCAATAGCCAGAATCTGATTATATCTGTCCATCAAGCTCAGCAGCAGCCCTAGTAGAGCTGTCAGTTTTAGTGCCTCAGTGAGAAGTAGCAGCTAGCAACTGCCATTTCCCAAACATCTCTGCCCAGACAAAACTTTCAAAAACATAAACCCAAATCCATAAAAACAATACAAAATAATTTTCTAACAACGCTGAGGGCTAGGATTGGGAGAGGAAACACATCCTTCTGAGACTTGAGCCACCTATGCACCCTGCCTGCTGCCCATCTGGAGTTTGCTTCTTCCCACTGGGCTGTCGCTGGGGGACTGGAATCCAAATCTCCATTTGGTGCCGAGAGCTGTATCCACTGCTGTTGGTCAATGAGGCTTGCCTGTCGCCATAGTGAGGAAGTGCAGATGGAATTCTCAGTACCATGGGTCAGCACGGTGCTGCTGGTTGTAGAGCTGTAGCTTGATCTGATCTTTGATCTGATTCACAAGGATCTGGGACAGCAGGATTCCCACCAGCTGGGAGAGGCGAGAAGATTGGGCCCTAAGCAATGAGTGATGCCCTTATTTTCCCTGACTCAGTCTTCCCAGCATGGTCAGCACCATCCCATTCCCTGCTCCTCAGCAATGTCAGTGCCTGACACCCTAGTGGACCCCCAGGTGCCCTCCCCAAAACAAAGGAGTCTTTGCAGAATTGTGGGGCCCACAGTCTTACAGGTTAAGTTACCTGGGGGATGGCCAGGCCCAGAGCTACACCACCAAGTAAGAAGAGGTTGCTGTGTATCCAGTTGACCAACTTGTCAATACAGCCATTAGTGTAGATGATTTTACTAGCTTCCAAGTAGTCAAGGGCCTGCATACCTTGGCCACACATGGTGTTGATCACTACCTGGGGAGAGAGATGAAAAGCCAAATGGGACTCCTAATAACCTTTTCTTTTGGACCTTAGCTGATGGGCTTTCCACCCTTTCCAAATTCCTAAATTGTCAGAGAAATATGTGGAGGATACTAGGTTGGAAGTTGCTAAATGCAGGCAGGCTTCCCTTTCTCTGATGTATCTGAGTCCAGTTCTCCTTACTTTATAGACCTGTCTGTCCCTTCTGAACCCCCATGTGGGCTAGAAGACTGAAAGGTTAACAGAGCCATCAGATTGCGGTGAAGAAAAAAAACATCTGACAGCTGTCCTAGAAAACTGATTGTTTAAGCAGGGGAATGGGGATTCCCAGTAGTGACCGCCCTAATCAGAAAGCAGTTCAGATCACTGGCCAAGAGGAAATGAGGTGGGAATGTGCTCACCTGGTTGGGAGTAGGCAAGCAACAGGAGTAAGGCACAGAGCAGCGCTCACGGCTGGGGTTGTCTTCCGAACAGTTGAAATACATGTTCAGGGACCAATCCTTGTAAGAAATCCCTCCACAGCAGCTGAACTGCAACAAAAACCACCACAAAAGTTAAGAATCACCCACTTCTCACACTTAGGTGACCAGGGGAATTCTCAGAGCAACCAAAAGTCTATGGCAAGCTTCCACTTGTAAGTTAAACACAACCTTGAAATTTGAGCTCCAGTTTCTCAGTGGCTTTCACCTGAAGTTTTCTCTTTTTAATTTTTATTACTGTATGTATTTTGTTATAACTTATTGTAGTTGTATATATATTTTGTTTTACACATTCAACTTTGAGCTCCTTGAGGGCAATTTCTGGTTTTTGTCCTGCATAGCATAGAACCTGGCAAAAAAGCATGTGAAAAAATACTGGTTGAAATAATTAAACAATCACTGTTGAAAACATTTGTCTTAATATAGAGAAAACACAAGAGGAGAGTCTTCAATATTGTGGATCCATAATTCATGAAAGCAAGTATGATCCAAGTCAAGTGCCTGCTGCACCAAGGGAAGAGGAACTCAGCACTAGTCTCAAAAGCACTTTTATTTAAAATTTGACTTTTGATTCATAGCAGTATTACTCACAATGGCCAAAAGGTGGCAGTCACTCACATGTGCATCGAAAGATAAATGGATTAACAAAATGTGATAAAGACACACAATGGAATATTATTCAGCCTTAAAAAGGAAATCCATTTCAATACATCCTGCAACACAGATGATCCTTGAAGACATGCTAAGTGAAATAATTCAGTCACAAAAGCACAAATACTGCATGATTCCACTTATATGAGGTACCTAGAGTACTCAAATTCAAATTCATAGGGACAGAAAGTAGAATGGTGGTTGCCAGGAGCTGGGGAGTGAGAAATGGGAAGTTAGTGTTTAATGCAGACAGAGTTTTAAATGGGGAAGGTGAAAAGTTCTGGAAGTAGATGGCGATGATGGTTATACAACAGTGTGAATGTACTTAGTGCCAGAGATCTCTATACTTTAAATATGGTTAGAAAGGTAAATTTTATGCTATGTATATTTTACTACCATTAAAAAAATTTAAGTTCTGAACAGGTGATATTAAAAAAATCTTGTCTGCTGAGTTCCTCATCCCTCTATAAGTAACCACTTATAGTAGTTTCTTACATATCCTTCCAGATTCCTTTTGCAAATATGTATATTTCTTCCTCCCCTTTTTACACAAGTGGTAGATTACTACACAGACTGTTCTGTGCCCTTAAAGGTACTTTTAAAGCATGCTGCTATGTATGGTCTTTTGGCAAACCTGTTCCCAGAATCCATTACCTGGCAGGTGCTAAAGAAGCCTGCAGGCCTGGAGGGTGAGGTATCTCTTGGGATGGCATTAATCTTTGCTCACAGCCTCCCAGACCACAGGTTGGCTCCCACCCCCACTCTTAACCCATACCTTCTTCTGGCCAAAATCAATGAGATTCTGCAGGTCCAAGTCATCTCGGTAGTGCACAATGGCATTATTGATGATTTCACTCACTTTCCCTCTTGCCTGCCAGAGATATGAGTAGGAAATCAAAATACAGGACTAGCCCCCAACCTGTTCCTCCCTGAAGAAATAACAGTAGACAATGGTCAGCCTTCTTTATTTAAGTCAGCCTTGAAATCAGAACCAAGACCTGGAAGATGGCTAGTACCAGACCCCATCTATCCCTCTGCCGTCTGGTGCCAGTAGGCAAGAGAAATGCTGGATCTGCTGTTGCCACTTCTCAGAGCCACATTTCAAGATAGTCCAATATTTACCCACCTCTGAATACCATTACCACAAAAACTTGATGCAAAGACTAACTTTTGGTTGTTTTTAGTGGAAAAGGGTATACTGAGCGGAGGCACTGACCTCTAGTGGATATAACAGAATTGCATCTTCTTAGACTCAAAACAGATCTCTATTTTAGGATTTGACTAAGCTGAAGGACTATGACATTCTGAAAGAATTCAGTGCCTCTCAGTTTCCTGGTTTCTATCATGCTCTCTTCCTTCTGCTCTGTTATTCTTCTCAAAGTTTCCTGTCCAGAGTCCTATACCTGTCCCCAGCAGTCATCTGCCTTTTGGGAAAATAATTTTGGTTTCATAATTTAAAAAACTATAACTCAGATGGCAACTATACTGATCCTGATGAGCATTTTGTAACATATATAATTG